CATTTGTGACATGATAGTGGCAGTTCCAAGTTTTTTTCAATTTTGTATGTAAGGTGTCACACATTTCATCTCTGCAAATAGAAACTCCGTAGTTAAAACTTGATTCTTTAACACTTTCTTTTGAATGATTCTGTGATGAAAAACTGGGTGTGATTCTGACCACTGCAAGTGCTGAGTCTAAGCGTCAAACTCAAAGGGCAAGTGCAAAGTAAGTTCCCGATGATTACACACATGACACCTCATATCAAAGTACGTAATAGTTTCCCTTAACAAAATGCCAAAATACGCTGTCAACTCCCTGTGTTTCCAGAGTAAATCCCCTCTCCTGATTTTTTTTCCCTATCTGGTCACTGCTCCGAGGCCCAGAGGCATCTGAGACGGTGCGAAGTGTCCACTGAGGGGTGACAGTTGGGTGTATGTGCTCAGCCACAGACAAAACAACACTCTGGCAGACACAGTAAACTCCCAGCTCATTTTCACGTACAATGAGAGCTCAAACATTTGAGGTCTGAAGGCCGCTTATGTCAGCTCGGCTTTGTGCAGACGGACTGTGACATCATGGTCACTGTCAGATTATATAGCTATAGTCCTCAAAGGCCAAGCCTCACAACTGGACTAGTGTTTCAAAGTGCAGACAGCTAATGACGTAGGTTTGATACGAAACTAGCACACTTTTCAAATCCTTCTTTTGGTACTGTATTGGTTGCGACAATCCGGAGAATACAAGCCTCTCATGGCAATAAATGGATGTTATTTTTCTGAAAACACAAAGGCTTCTGATTTTAAGAAAATGCATTTGAACTGTCGTTCGTTATTTACTCCTCGCAAATAGTGTGTCATAGTTTCCTCAATAAACAATGGGCTTTTTATCCTTATAAAGAACACATTTGTTTTCAATGTTGCAACCAGCAATAAAAGTTGACCAAATATGTAATAAATAAATGCCAAGTTAAAATCACCCATTTCATCAAATATGAAAAAATGTCTTTGCAGTCTAAGGTCTAGACTATTTTAGGTAGCCATCACACCGTGGTTGTATGTGGTTGAATTTGTTTCCCCTCCTTCCCTATGATATGCATCCACTTAAGCACTATGGACGTCACAGTGTGTTCCGAGCTGCTTGTAACAACAGAGAGACTGCACACTGAATTTTCATGAGTACAGCCTCAGTCTATATTCCCTAATGTGATTGATCCACTGTGTACTCTGGCAACAGTCGGAGTTCAGTAGTGGTTGTAAATGGTTCCGTTTAAAATCTGTAAGTTATGGAGGGGCACACTTGTTTTTCTTTGGGTCAAGGTGGAGCCTCTGTATAATTGGTGGACTGTCTATCACGGTAAACCTCAAAAGATTTAATTGATTTAAGGGGAATCCCGTATCGCACAGACTATGTAGAATGTGTAATGAAATATGTGAAGCCAATCATTTATGATCCTATTTTAGGTGAAGGTCCCAGCAGACTTTTCCGTAACACTCACATTAGGCTCCCACAGTGTTTTTGTGCAATCCAACACTTTGTTACTGTAGGCTAAGTCAGAATCATAATGGTGTTCTAGGTCCCTGTGGAAGGTATTTTAAAATGATGGGCATAAATTTCAGTAAGGTCAGATTTTATTACAAAGTTTGTTCTACTGGATTGAAGGCCGTATTAATGAGGGTTTTTTATGTTGTTTTATTTTTATTTTTTTTGCAGGAGGGCAAAAACATTGGTCTTTGTTTGGCTCTTTCTGCCAGTGTAATGTGAGGTGATGATAGTAGTTCAGGGATCATTGTTAAAACTCTCTGGCTGTGCACTGTTGTGTTGTATGTGTCTGCCATCTATTGGACTTACAAGAAACACCACTTGGCAAATTCATGTGAAATAGCTTTTAAACGGACTTATCAGTAGAGATAGGTAACGGTAATTTGTTTTTAGGCTGCTGAGATTTATAGCACCACAGATAACACATGACACGGGTTTGCAATAAATGAACATCAAGATAAAGAAGTATCATCTTCTCACATTTAGTACGTATAAATTATCCTATTATCTCTGTAAACATAAAATGTTTTACAAAGATGGAAATCTAAGAGAGAGGGGAGCAAAATCATAGTAAGTTGGTAGTGCCCATCTAAAAGAAACATTTTTGTGTTTATGGCAATGAGGAACAGTGGTTTGTAAAATAGAGGAAAAAAATAAATACCCCCAAATGTATTAAAAGAACTCACTTATATCCTATAACATGTGTTGCGGTGGGAACCGGGGTAGGACGCCAGGAAAAAGAGGGAGTGGGTGAGTGCAGGAGTCGGCCGAGCACGTGCCTCCTGAGGTCCTCTGGTCTCTGTCTGGGATCAGCCCGCCTCACCAGCCCCTGGGCCAGACTCCCATCAGCCCCATACCCTGTCTGCTCTGGGCCAGACACCACCATGACCACTTGTATTGAGAGGCCTGACCACCATTGTGCCACAGTAGAGTACACAAACAAACAGTGCAGACACACACCGGTCTGCTCCCCTGCCATTACGTCGACTCATCAAGCCCACTCGGTTTAGTCATACCATAAGCTTCCAGTGCAAGCAGCTCCCTCTTGGCTTTGGATGGAGAATCTGGCACAAGATATTTGCTCATTTGTCCCCACACATGTATGTGGTTTGGTAACGCTGCTAGGGACTGCTGCCCCAGTCTTTCTTACTGTGAAGCTTCAGAGCCAGCCAGGCCTTTCCTGGGTAATATCCTCCCACACAGTCTGACTATACGGCTTTCTGTTGTTCATATTCAGCTGTTTACGTCCTTACAGTGTGTTTTCTGTGGATTTTGGTATGCAGTATGGACGAGCCAAATATGTGGGCAATGCTTCATCTTGCAAACTACTCATGGTCACTTTCAAGTGTTTCTGCAACCATGACTGAAATGGACACTGTCTGTCATCTGACAAACTGGCAACACTGGATTTGTGTTATTATAGACAAAGTGCTGATTTTGGATTCCTCTAACTTGTAGGAAGAGAACTTATTTTAATTCTGCTCTGTGCAGACAGCTTTTTGGGCAATTGTACCTTTGTTTTTGTTGCCTAAAAACTAAAAAATTGACACTTTCCTTTCTTCTAATTAGAAACGGATAGATACCAAATGTCAATGCAAATGTTTATGTCCTTGTGGATAAAAAAAAAAAAAAAAAGAATTCCCAGTTATTCCTACCTCTTCTCCAAACCAGGCGATTCATTTTTTTCCCCCATACTATAAGTTAGGTAACTCACTCTTATATCATCATAAAGATGGAAAATTGCATAAGCAAACATGTATCAAACATTGGCTGAAAGCATGGTTTTAGGGCTGTGGAGTACACACGCTCACACACACACAAATGCACACACAAACACACTGCATTTCTTCGCTCTTTTCATGTCGACCACAAGGTTGACCTGCTGGCCTCTATTTCCTCTGAAGAGGATATCCCCCTTCAGTAGAGCCTTAAAATCCATCACAGCAGACGACTTGAGATCCTGATGTATGCGCCCCCTCCTCTATTGTCTTTGAAGCGTTGGGAGGCTTTGGCTGGGCCTGACCACAGTGATGATTGCAGTCTGATAGTCAGGCAGCTACTAAGATGTTCCCAGCTCAATCTCTGTCTGATGTCCCCCCCATGCTTGATGGAGAGAGAGGTTCTGGTTCACTGATAAATGTAATTAGGAATGCGGCCCATAGTCTTTAATTTCTGCTGTCACCTTGTTTTCCTCAGCAGTTACTCTACCAAGGAGGATTTTCTGAAAGTCCTACCTCCCCCATCCTCCAAACTGGCAAAAAAATACCATGCACACGCACAAGAGTATCTTGACTAGAAGCTCATGTACATTTAACTCATCTGAGGGCATTTGGAGGACAAGCTGTTAGTTTATGTCTTAACCACCCCTCGACAGATTTGCATTGGGTGCAAAAATAAACAGAATGTTCCAAATGTCACCTCGGTAACTGACGTTCCACAGACCACCGTGAACAAAAGTAGCTCAGATAGTTCTATTCATACGTCTCTGTTTGTTCTCTAATATTGACAGGTCTGACTTATCAAAATCAAGTTTTCTGTTATGGCTTCATTCAGGATGTTGCATAAGACACCGTGTTTTCATGGTACACCGAGTGAAATGACACAGCATTATTAACGAGATTCAAAAATATGCTTCACACGTTTACATATTAAAGGTCAAACTTTGGGTTAGCGTACTAGATACTCAGTAGCTGCAGCAAATTGAGATTGAGATGTTTACAAATGATCACTATTTAGCATAATTCCTTGTCGATGTAGTGCCACATGACTGCAAACTGGTTATGTCCCTATGCACACTGGCATGAAGTCATAGAAACCTAAAGGTCAGTACATTTTAGGGGGATTTTTGAGGGCATTTTTACAATATCTTTGAATTCAGGAAATATTTTTTGGCTTATTTATCTACTCAGGAATTTGTGCAACTTGTGCAAAGTCATTACATATTCAATACTGTAAATACAGTATAGTGTATATACATATACCATTTACTTTTTTTTTTAAACAACATAAACTTGGAACATTATATCACATCAGGGAGAAGAACTAAGCACATAGAAGTATAGCAATAATAATGAAAGAGCCTATTTAGCCAGATGAAGGTTAAACTACGTCAAGTACATATTTAATTAACATGCGTACCTAAGGACCATCAGCAGGCAAGGATGAGGAGAAATAATACGACTGAATGGGAACTTGAATTGTGGCATGAGGAGAACCTGTGAAAAACTACAGTGAGAAATGCAATCCATCTCAATAAAATGAGCATTGCACATAACTGTGGTTTTCTTTACAGATATACCAGCTGTCTTGTCTCTTCACCTGCAGCACGCTCAGTCCCGAGGCATAGCATCAAGCCTGCTGCTGCTGCTGCTGGAAAACCAATGACAGTAAACTCATAACTGAAGGTAAATGGGTAAATTAGGAAATGTAGATGTTGTTCTTTTTAAATATTACTGGAAAGAAATACAAAAAAAACTAATACTGTAACTAAAATAGTGTTTATTCCATAGAAAAAAAACCTCATCCAATGCACACAGTAAGAAAGGAAAAGTGGATGTTACAAAAACAAAGGCTTATACTGTATGCCATGAAAAGAATATTATTGAATTTAATCACCATACCCTTTAACAACCTCTCAAAATGCATGCACATTCAATTTAATAAAGGTCTTGATGACTGTTAATAACATAAAGTTTCTCCATATCTGTGCACTTGAGGCTGAGCTTGTCATCGAAACAAAGCGTAATGCTCTTACCAGAAGCAGCCAGTAACCTTTCATCTCAGCAACCGTCAAACGTTATAACATTGTCGGAACATAAAGAGAAAACCTTGACACTGATTTATGCATTGATATAACAAAACCAATGTGTACAGTGTTGACAGTGAATGTCTTAATACATGTGGTAAAATGTGGTGCTCGGACTCTCAGAACCAATACTCCGACACAAACATGTGAACGTTGATGATGTTCTGGCCAGAGTCGCCTTGACCTGTCAGGTTGCGCATGGACAGTTTCAGTATTGTCGTCATTGGACCAATCAGAGGCTTCACCTGGCGAACAACACCTGAAGGAGACAAAAAAAAAAAATGGTAATACTGGTGACAATACGTACCGTAAATACGTGTATAGATTCATGCACTACTAAGCAAAAACTTTCTACTTTGTATCATGACATATCTAGCTCATCTGAAATCAGTTCTTGCAATAGTCTTGTTTTTACCGCAGTTTTGGACTATTAGTCTGTTATTTTTCAGCTATTTGGTCATCTAATTGTAGCAAAAAAGCAGTCAAACTGGGTAAAGAAATGACAGCGCATGTGAACGGTTGGGACGCAAATTTTTCTAATATATAATTTTTTTTGGATTTTGTCGGCAGCATAATGGTTGGTGAACAAAAATAGCAGCAATTAGTTGGTATTATAGCTTTCATTAACGATAATTCTGTCTTTGTGCAGGCTGATTATATTTTCAGAGCTTTTATTTCAGTGTCACTTTTTGGTTTTAATTGGCAACCAAAATATTGTATGCTTTCTCACTTATCTTTAGTGGTGTCTAGCAAAGCAGATAGTTTTGGTTTTTAGTGCTGAGAGTGAAGATTTCTGCTGCCACCCCAATACAATTGAGGACAGCGGAATTTAGCTTGCGGTGTTCAGTGCAAAAAAATTACATTTGTCTTTTAGCAATAAAGCAAAAGATTTTTCAAAAAACAGTGTGCTAGTCGCAGGCTTTCTCAACCAGACATTCCTGTCTTTCATTGACATGTCTGACAATTCTGTCAATTTTATACACATCCTTCAGTTTTATACAATGCAGCTGTCACCATATGTTGCACAACAGCTTGTGCTTTGCATTTATAGCATATTTTTTTCTTTAAAGTGTAATTTCCTCTGATTACAATGATCGAACGCACAGCATACTGTGGATAAGCACAACCAGAGTGGCTGCAGATGTGATGTTAAGTTGTGGATAATCTATAGACATCGCTGTCAGCAGTTTTCTTTCAGTAGAAAATAGCTCCAATGAATGTTGATTGTTTACAACGACCAGGCTCTTAGGACAATGATCTTGGCGATTTTGACCTCATAGCAAAGAGGCCAGTCAACCATGTTCTATCCAGGTGATCTGATTTTCTCCAACAGTCCAAAGACATCATGAGTGATAGGCTAATTGATGATTCTAAATTGGTGTGAATGAGAGCCTGAGTGGTTGTCTGTCTCTCTGTGTTAGCCCTGTGATTGACCATGCGACACATCCTGCTTGTATCCCACCTCTTATCCAATGTTAGCTGGGATATGCTCCAGCCACACACCCCCGTGCCACCCTATTAAAGACAAGTGTGTACAGCTAGTGGTATGGTATAGCGTTCCTTATGAGGCCTGGGGATTCACAGGGTCTAAAAGCACCAGTTTTGGACTTACCACAAAGGCTGTTGGTGTGTGATTGTATCAAGTGGTACATTTAAATGAGTGCTCTAATAAAGTGTGGTGTTAATGAGCTAAAAGACTGTCCATGATAAACTTTATAAAACAAGAGACATGCTCATGCCGTAGTAAAACAGATGGAAGAATAAACATACTGCAACAGAGCATTACTGAATTCCCATGGAATTCACTGGGTGCTCCTTTTAAGTGAACATGCGATTAGAGGGGGGAAAAAAATGCCAGTGTTTATACAGGCTGTCAGCAGACCTTTCTCTGCAGAAGGCTGGTGACATTTCAGCTCTGGCCTGTTTGAACAGTTATCACCAGAGTGCAGTCAGGCAGCACAATCACTACACTGTCCTCCTATCACACCTTCTACCGCCTTCTTTCTTTTCCCCGTTTCCTTGTGTTTCTCTTATTCACAACTGGGTCGGTAAAGTGTTCAAGCTTTTAGCAGGATGACTCAAGAGTTTAACTCAGCGTGGATCAAAACGATGACAGATCGCTGCCTCGATCAGTCTGAATTATGAGGCTTCTTTCTGTGGTACTTGTAGCAAAGCAGTAAAAACCCATTTGGTTGTCATTCACTACAGGGCAAATGATGATCCATTATGTGCCATCCGCTGGGTCCTTTGGGACACTGGCATTGTATGATGGCAGATCCCCCCACCCACTCATTCTCCTTTTTTCCCTCCTCCCCTCTCCTCCCTTCCTGAGGGGGCCTGGTGTTTGTGGCACCATCACTGTGGCCCACAAGGGTAAATGAGTCCCATGTGTTTGATGGAGGGGAGCAGTCTCAGTCACGCGATACAGCCATGGAGGCATTCCTCCAGGAATCCATCTTTAACTCTGGGAGGGGCAAGCTATAGGAACTTGAACTGCTGTCTATCTTTCTCTCTGTCACTTTATTCTGCTCTCTCTTCCTTCTCCGAGTCGGATCTGTGGACACACGACGGATTCCAGAAGATTCTGGCGATAAGCACTTAAAGGAGTGTGGAATGGGGCCCACTTCTACCAGGGTTGCCCCCTTGTTTTGGTGTTTTGGGACTCTGTTGCGTAGTGACACTAGACAGAGGGGCGCGGGTCTGAGATTTTATTGTTTCCAAACCATCAGCGCCATCAGAAAGAGCTAACCTTTGCTTAAACCTAACAACAGCTGCAATATTAAGAAAATAACTGACATGGAAAAAGACATTGAATATTCAGTCTGAAAATTATTTTCAGACATAAGCCAATCGAGATGGCACGCAAGTCTGGGTTGACCAATGCAAACTCTAAGTGAGCTCCAAGGTTCATTATTTGTCCATGTACTTAAATCAAACAGTCAGTTCAAAAGCTTCTGTGCTGGGTTGAGCAAGCACACAATGAAGATGAGTAAGATATTATTATGAGCACAACATGGACCACCGCAAAGACAGATGGGTTTAAGTCCACACTGAGGCTTTTTTTAAAAATTGCAGTAAACAGCAAGCATAGCTTATATCTAATGAGGGCTAAACAGTTTATAATCAGGGTGAACTGAGGGTAAATTATCCTCTAAACTCCAGAAGAGTGCCGCTATGAATAGATGCTAAGCAATCTTGCCACCTAAATAAACAGCAAAAACACAGACACTTCACATCTAAACTGAAATTTATTGAGGGCATCTAAACAGGGCAATATGTGGAATGTGTCTGGGGCCTATTCTTGTATCGTAAATGTGTTTATGGTCTAATTAGTACATTCAGAGGGCACAAGTGTGCTTTTAAGCACGGAAGTTCTCTCATAGTGCCCAAAAGCTCCACCAAATCCCCAAATTTCCTCTAAGCTTGCTGTTGATCATTTGAAACCTTGCAAGTTCAGTTGTTCTCACCTCAAGACTATTGGGTGTGATAACAAACCAATGAGTGTATCTTAACCTCTAAGATGTATAACAATTACTGTAATCCTAAGAGCTTCAGGAGAAGGCAGCTAGAGAAGTCTGGGGAGCGATTTCAAGACTGAGTGCATCAATTATCAGGCACTTATAATGCAGTCTTGGGATCTCTCCCCAGAAAGTTGCACCACTATTAACAGTATTAACATCTTAAGTCATCTCTGATCTGGCGATTTCACAACTTTAGCAACCAATAAAGAGAAGTCCAGTTGCCTTCTACTGGAGCTGGATAACTGAGAATCTACACAGACACAATGACTGTAGTATTTTGTGGCATAAGTAAGAAACACCTCGTTTGTCTAAACCGTTTTTATTCAACTTCGAGTGTCTCTTTAACTTATTTATTTGCACAGCCTTGAGGACAAGAAAAGGGTTATTATGTTATTACGCTGTGGGCTTTTGCGCACAATTCTGCACGAAGAAGCTTGATACGAAAGTCATTTCACATGACCTCTTGGAAGCCTCTGTGAAATCCTAACATGATGACTCTGTGTTTCCGTAAGCTTCCCATCAAAAGCACAGTGGTATCCTCGATGAGGGGAAAGCATCAGCTAACAGCTGGGCCTCAACGTACTCACAGTGAACCTGAGGTGAAACCACAACCGCATACTCATCTTTAACATTTCATCCAGGCTATAAGGCAGGAAGCCAATGGCCACATAACAGGTTGACTTTGATTGGCTACCATACCACCTGAGATTCATATAAATAAACATGGGGAGGTTTTGAAAACCCTGCAGCTGACAATTTGCCCTGTGACTGGGCTGCAAGGTCATGTCATCTGAGGCCTGGCGTACTCAAGCAAGAGTTACAGTTGTAGCGCTGGAACGATTTGCGGTGTCTTTCCAATTCATTGAGGCATCTGCCACAGGGTGCAAAGGTGACCCCACGGGCTTACACAGCCACCATCAAACAAACAGCTGTACAATCTGTCCATTCTCCAAAACATTCCACCACACCATAAAGTAGCCCCTTAAGTAGAAAATAGCCTTGAATAAATGCATGCTAGTAGCAGAGACACTGCCACAAAACAAAGTGAAGCAAATGCCAGGAGGCATTTGTCATCCTTCATGGCCACGAGGTCTGCAATATTGAAGGGTTACATGTAAACAGTACAATTTCGGGGTTTTCTGGTTTCTACAACTCAGCGAGGAAGTGTATGACAAAATCCAAAATGAACGGGCTTAACACCAGAGACAAATGAAAAGTATGCATTGGCCTCACCACAGTATTGTATAATGACACGCTGGTTGTGGTGCTATGCATGCTCACAGCAGTGAAACCATTGGAAAGCATCCAGGTGGTGTACAAAGTTCCAGTATACAAAAAGGGTACTGGAGGGCATTCTGCAGCATCGTTACAGCTTTGACTGTGATACGTTCTTTCACTGATGTACATGTGCTGAAGTGCATCTAATACTGATGCACTAGTGAGTACTGTTGGCATAAATATAAACAGAACAAAGAGTGGTTTATTATTCAATAACTTCTTTTTTAACTGCCTGAAAGGTTTTCTCCAAAAAGGCCATAAAAGCTGAAAGGTATGCCAGAGAAATTGCTAACTAGCTCCCTTGTTACCCCATTAGTAAAACAACCAATTTCAGTCTTGATAACCCGTCAGTGTGGCTGAAATATAATCCTTTCAAACTGCCTGGCATAACAACATAACCGTCTGTATGAAGACAGAGTGTACGGGCCCCTCAGGGACCGGCTCTTGTGTTTACAACCTTGTCACTGGTACATGGATGGCCAGTCCGGTCAGGCTGGCCAAACACAGCTCTGACCACTCCAAAGAGGGGGTGGGATCCATGCACACCCCTGCTCTGAAAGGCCAGTGTATGTGGCTTGATATTTTAGGGTCAATTAACAGTGAGTCATCGTTACTGATTTCTCAAATGGCCCATGGGTCATTACTGGACAGTGACACTCACTGGGTAGTGACATCATTGAAAAGGAGCCTTAGGGAATTGGTTGGTTCTTTTCTTGGACTTTCTGTTTTAGTAGTTGTGGGCCCGAGCAGCTGAGATGACATAACATGCACCATTATCTTTACCACAACCTTTGCACTATATTACAAGTGACCTTTCAAAGCTAAGAGCCATAACTAAGAGGCATAAAATAGACTTGAATGTAGACTAAATGGAGAGGCAGTTGGACGGAAAAACTGCTTTGTTTGCATTTTAAATCAGGATTCTTTATTACGCTCTACTTCTGCTTTATAAATGGAGTAAATCATGGAGTAAATACAGCATGTTGATGAGCTTTTAAGATACTTTGCTATCTCTTTTGGCGTGTCACTTCATGAACGTGGAAAGAAACAGCATTCATTTTGTGAGCTGAACGATTAACTAAACAAAGCTAGGTTTTCTCAAAAACACTGCCTTAAAGCACGTATAAATAAAAAGTATAAATAAAATAGATCGCCAAACCACGGGAGATAAGTGCATCATGATGAATTATTAAGACAGTTTTATTGCAAGTAATATGTACTATATGTGTTCACACCAGTGTCTTACTGACTGTAGACGTGGTATGTCTCTGTGAGCATGACATGTCTGCATCGCTATCTCTTCATCAGTACATTTGTGGCGGACCACCCCAGGGGAGCGTTGTGTGTGTGACTGTGGTGCTGTTGGGTGGAGAAGACCCTGTTTTGATTAGCTGTACTAATCTCCAGACAGGGATTCCTCATGGGCTTGGCGCACTCTGGTGGGCCCGCTGCTGCCATGTCATGATTCATGCGGATGACAGCTACTCAAACTAGAGGAGCTAGTTGTCTGCTTATCTCCACGGCTGTCCTCAACTCCTCACCAGAGCAGCCGCAAGCCAGAGCCACAAGCTCCACTGGCTCAGAAGCAGTCATGTCTCACACAGTCGGCTCACATTCCACCAGCCACTGTGGATGGCTGCACTGACGACCATGACTACCTGCATGGAGACAAACTGTCCACTTCCTCTTCTTTTATTCATCTGCCTCGCTCGCTGCCAGCGGTGTGCTAGAGGCAGTGCAAAAGATATTTATTCTCTGGACTGCATAATAGACCGCAGAGGCATATTTCCACCTGTATTCGAAAAATGAATGGAATTTAGCTGTGCCGTCTTAGAATTGCAGGTTCACTAACGGACGGCTATGATTCATGAAGAGAAGGCATTATATTATCTGTTGCTGTCCACTAAGATAAACCTAAACACTACATAATAAAATCTGTTTTTCCTACTAAAAAAACAGCCATGATTAATGGGACAGTAAAATCCTTCCATGACAAACAATTAATCATGAAGAGGAGTCATTTGGGCACATCCAAGGGATGACTAAATGTGTGCTGTTTAATTCCACAGTTGTCTACTGATTTTACTGTACAGTGGATTTACACTGGTCAGGGAACTGGCTGAGTATAGTAAAAACACAAGTGACATAACTGTAAGAACAGTGTCTAGATGTATAGTTAATGGTGTTTAAATTGCTTTTGATACCACTGCATGGGAAAAAATGTTACGTCTTTTCTGCCATAGAAAAAAAGTCTGGCAACAACTACTTAACAATAACTAAAACAAAGCTGTAAAAATGTACTCATGCTCGTCAAGCTGACCTTGATATTTGAAGATAAAACAGCAAGACCAGCCGATGATGTATTTCACTGGGAGATAATCAAACAAGGGAGCCACCAGCATTTTCTCAGACACTCAGACTCAGCCCATGCTTCCAGCAGAGACCACAGAGTCAGTGTTTTGAAAGGGAGGACGCATCTGTCCACCTGCTGACTGCCAGAATCAATCATCCCATTATCAACCCTATTCAAACAACCTGTCCCTAATCAAAAGTGGATGGCTGCTTTGGCGTGAGTAATGCATTCCACCACTGTTTGTGTTTCCAAATATATGTATGATGTGTAACAAATGCTTCCTTTGTTGGAAAAGATGATAAATATCTCGTCGGCAGATCTCATGTGTGTCTACCTGAAGGGATTTTGTGTGGTCGCCGCCGTGCTACTGTGGTCGTCATGGGAATCGGTAAGTGTGTGATCAGTTCTGATCATGTTTTCCAAGTGCTGAGGGATGGTTGTGTTTGCACAGATGCGTAAGGCTGTCAGGGTTGTCATCCAGATGTGACAGCGCTGGTAAAGCCAGTGATGGATGACCGGGAACTAGGAAAGAGTGGTGTGGCTCTTACACTGTGGTGCACTGTAAGCCAGTACCGTGTGTGCACGTGCGTGTATGCGCATATGTCTGCGCATACACTGCATGCTTCTTTGTGTGCAGCTGATTTTTAAAACGGCGAGTATAAGTGAGTGGAACGGAAAAGAGCGTCAGCCAGTCAAACCTTTTAAAAATCACTTTTTCAAGTTAGCAACAGATTCTGAGGATCGCTAATTGCCTCTTTTGTCCCTTTCAATAACACTAAAAGTTGCCAAAAATAATGACCTAAGTTAGCTCGAGTTCACACACTTGTTCATTTGTGGAGCCTCAATGTCTGCTACTCTTCACATCCCACCAAGCTGTAATACCACTGTTGGAGACACTGGAGATACTGGAAACTAAGCTTCCTTAAGTGACACGTCAGCGAGCCTCATACAATGGTTACGCAACAGCAGCATCTGCGGGCCAAAGCACCAGCAGCACAACCCACTAAATAAAACCAAGAGGGCCTTCATCGCACCATGGATGCCACACTTCACAGTGAGTAGTCAGTGACCAAAGGCTCCAGTGCAAAGGGCCTCAATTTGGATATGTGATGGGCAACTGGTGATAACATGCAAGAGCTGCATCCAATAAGCATCCAATGGGTTTGGGAGAGAAACGGCTCCTCACAAACAGGCCTTTCATGTGGTCGTCAGTTTAAGTGCTCTAATGCTCGGCGAGACACTGAGGCCTAGCGTGGGGAAATGGAACAATACATTTAACCACATGAAGCACAGCGCCCAGGATTACTTCTGCACATATTTTCTCTCTCTCTCTCTTTCATTGAATTACAGTCTCTCACTTTGTCTTTCTCTCTCTGCAATTTTATTCTCTTTCTTCCCCTTGCACACACATATTTGCCCCTGCAAATGAGCACTGCTATAAACAGGGAATTTCTGCTAAATCCTCCTTTATACACATGCATACAGACGCACACACACAGTAGATGATATATTACAAAATAAGGCTTATCACTCATGCAGAATTACACCATTGTGCATTCCAACAAAAACATACCATTATAAGACAGTACAATATAATTATAAGTGCTTTTACTGTGATTTATGTGAATTATTGCTGGTGATAAAGATTTTTCTCCCATGTCTCTGTGTGAATCTGGGTGTGTTTGATAAGCACACATCTGTTTCTGCAAGTGTACAAAGAGAGGAACACTTGCGTGCGCCCACAATCCAGCCTTAACCAGTGACAGCCACACACTCTCCTCTCGCACTCCCTTTTCATTCTGTAAAGACAGATGTGCACAGTGACAGGCCATCCCTTCATCCATCACGAAGAGAAGGAGAAGAAACTGTCCTTCCACTACCACCCTGCCTGCATCTCCGCACACAACCAAAACAAAAACACCTAGGCAGGCCCAACAATGTGTCATCCTTTTGGGCTGAGTACACCCTCATCTTCTCGGGGCCAAGGCTCAGTTCAGCTCTCCTACAGGCACGCAGCAGCCTTGGGTCACCACCAGACTGAAGGATGGGAATGGCTCCCACCCAAACATGTGTTGTCGTTACACACCGCTGGAGATGGTATCTGCTGCGCCGACTTGAAGTAGCGCAGGGCTCTGTTTGCATGGTGGCAGTCGCCGAACAGGTAGTTATGACAGACTGCCTGTCAACCGCGATCGCTCATGCATACGTGCATATGAATACACAAGTGGAGATTTATACGCTCTATTCCTGTACATTCAAGACGCCATAACTTATTGTGGAAAGTAATGATCTTTGGGATAAGCACAGCCGCGGATAAGTGAATTAAATGGTACTTTGTTTAACCACAAGACTGTGAAAATTGATGCCAAATATTTGGTAAGACAGAAACAGGCCTTCGTCTGTCTCACAGAGCCACACAGAGGACAGCCCTCCAAAGACACAGACGCACCAGAGCCCCCATGAAGACGATGACAGCTACATGATGCCACCACGCTGCAGAGAGCCATAACAGGCTGTGTCAGATGTACTTATGTCAATGAGTCCAGACATTCCTTGTGGAATATTTTTGTGCTTTTTGTCCCTGTTCAATGCGCACATGTGATTTTAATTTGTAATAAAATAAATATCTATATTTCAAAATGAGAAATGAGGTCAGAAAAACCACCTCCTTTGTCAAAAAGAAAATACAATTTCCAGTCACAGACGCCGTAGGGTGGTACATGTTGCATGTTAAAGCTGCTATTGTCAAAATGAAGCAGATTGGTTTATCCGGACTTCACAATGAGTAAAACCCCTATACTCACCCACATACATTCCATGCTCTACTCGCTTGATGATGTCGAAGGCATTCTCCACGTTGCCCTCCAAGATGTCAAACTTGACGTCGTAACTGCCTAAGTGATAGGTCCCGTAAGCTGGCACCGTTGTTCTCAGGAAAACAATCTCTGTTGGAAGATAACAATTAGACACAAAAAGAAAGCTTTCGGAGCCTAAACCTTCATAAAGACACTGGGATTGCTTTGCTAAGTCTGTGCCAACTCTTGCTGCTCTTGTTTTTTTTTCTTGTTCTTTTCAATAGAAAGACAATAAAATGGGAGACGGAAGGGTCTGTGTTTATTGTACACTGAGAGGGTCACAGAAAGGTTGAGACTTTTCAGTACCTTTGGGCCTCAAATCCTTTACACCCCGACTTGGAGCTTATGAGAAATGACAAGAGCTTAACTCCCCATGACAGTGAGCATGAGTGTGTCTGAAACCTGCACTGCACGCCGGCCAATAGATGCTTGTCAGCTGTCACTGCCTGCAAATGATTACCGTGGTTACTTATGTTCAACTAGCATGGCACTTACTCGCCAGTGAGGGCCAGCCAAGCCAGGACTGCGAAGGAGAGACGGAATAGCTAATCTGGGTTTCAGAGGTAGTCATATAGATTCTGACAACAGCAGGGGAAATGCAGTTGATGGGAAGTCAAAGATGAAGGGGAGATAAAAGTTTAGCAAAAGAAAGAAAAAGCAGGGAACCACGATGACACTAAAAACCATGTTGTACAGTCTTAAAATTTATTGTTTCCAAGGACTTTAACAGAACATTTTGTCACAGAATAAAGCCTCCAATATGGGCCTTTGTGGCTTTGTGTAAACATATGCACACAAGAAATTTAAGAGGCACTTAAATGAGCAAAAAATGTCGAAGATTGATGTGTAAGGCAGTGTTCCAGTCACATAGTCTGATATTTTGGGAAAAATGTGCTTTCTTGCTGATAGCTGGAAAAGAATATTGGTACCATTTATATCTGTGCAGTTTTCTCCCCATGGAAGTTTCTTTGATGAAACATGAATGAATTGAATCGCTTTTTTTTGTACATTTTTGTCCAGCCATCTGGATTACAAAATGTTTCATGTGACCATTCAATGAGAAAAGTGACTTGTACCTACCTTCTGGCCTTGTGAACTCTCTGAAGGTGGGCAAGGAAATGAAGGTGTGGGATATTGAGTGCGTGGGGTCCAGAACACAGGCGATGTCAGTGGACTGACAGGACTTCATGCAGCGAATGGTGTCAGAGCGTTCAAGCCTCGCCACTCTAAAGAACAGAACAAACATACACACCCACACAAAAAAAAAAAGGAAAACACAAATACACACATGGCCTTTGACCTTTAGGCGCTGTCTATTTAAAGACTTCACAGTCAACCGCCTTTGGTTTGCAAAGTTCACAATAACAGGGCATCCTTGGGTGCAGCCCACTGCGTAATCAAGAACTCAGTGGGACAACTCCAAAGGCCGCTACACAAACAATATCTGAACAAGACAGCAGGGGTACTGGATATAGCACTCAACATCAAAAACAATCGAATTCTATGTGGTTTGGAAGAATAATAAACCAACAAGGGCCAAAGCTCATGCCGCAGCCAAACTTTGTAGCTTGTGGAGACTCGCGCTGCCATTGATGCTTTTCTGATGCACTATTTCAAGCTGTGTGGGAAATGAATTACTACACTCACAAAGAATGATCCACAACCTGCTCAGGAAAATATTTGGATTTGCTGAGCATCCCCGGCTTCACATCAGATAATCTCTTGAGGAGGATTTATGGGGCAAGGGAGTGTTCTAAAAGACTCCTAAATTGTGAGCAACATGACTAGACAGCTCCCCAGCCTCTCCCCAGGGCAGCTCTCATCCTATTATTTAGGGCTTTGTTTATTCCACAGACTAATCAGTGACAGGTCGGCGGGAATGGAGGGCCTCTGCTGGCTCCTAAAGCTAACGCCACCTGAAGCATCACTATTCACAACCTGTCTGCCACATAAGACTTTGAGAGAGGTTTCTAAGGCATTAACAACCCCATAAATCAAGAGTTTGTCTTTGAAGCGATGAGGAACTTGCGATCACAAGGGAACTTTTGAAACAAAATAAAAGCCTTGATTATGACATTCAAGATGTTAAACTCAAGCTCAGCCTCCACAAAGGAGACATGTCAGTACACGGTTATATTGGGTTATGAAAACATCCAAGTTGCCATGTATAAGTCCAGTTAATGTGCATGGCAGCCATATAGCCACATTGTGAGTCATGGGCTGTGGATCTCTGGCGCTCCTCAGGGGACCTATCTGCAGCAGCTCAAAGCCCAGGCCCGACTTGGGTTGCAGGACTCCTTTCATGGAGAGCGAGGAGAGAAGCCCCTGACAAAAAGTCAAGCCACCACTGGGTAGGGGCTTGTAATTAGCAATTAGCGGGTGGGTCCAAGTTTTGCTTTGGCCCAGGCCAAACCCACAAAATGTTCTCCTAGTTTATAATACCACGGCCTGAGCTGCAGAAAGACCCGAGCGGGGCTCTAGAGGACGAGGTGAAAGCTGTTGGGGTAGAGAGTAAATTTACGAGAAGATAATGACCCAGAGTGAACTGCCCCCTTACACACAGACAGGCACTTCAAAGCGGGGGCAGCATTTAAGGTAATTACAGCCGCGTGTGTCTTAGTGCATCTGCACCCAAAACGCTTCTAGATGTGTGTTTGGTGATCATCTGTGAATGTGTGCATCTGTACATGCAAACATGCTCGTGTATGCGTGTGTGCATGTCGTGCACGCGCCCATGAACATATGCATGTCTTCTTCATCTCCCCATGGCTCACGTGGCCCAGCCCAGGAGAAAAACCCCAATACTTTCAGACCAGAAAGAAAAACAGACTTTTTGGATGAAAGTCCTCTGGTCAAGCGTAGGGCCTTTTATTTTTTTGGTAATTATTATTTATAGTCGGCACATTGATAACGCCCCAACACAAACACTGCAGGGCATCATTCATTTTGTGCGCGGTGATGTTGCTGCACCACAAATTGTTCAGACCACCGGCCAGAGCCCAGAGCCCCATAACTCAATGTCAAAGGGGAGGAAAAAACTCCTGCGCGCCACTATGCTCTTATTTTAAGGATATCCCCACTAGGGACCAAGTGCATCCTTATTGGCCTGACAGCTCAGGACAGGAGGAACCTAGGACATCTGAATTTACAGTTATTATAAGCCACAGCCCTCGGGCAGCAGCCTCACAGCATGTCAAACTATTTATACTCTCTCCTGCTGGTGCACATTTCCCTCTCCTTTGCTACTGCATCCCATCGCGTGTCACTTACTCAGCCTTCATTTGGATTATCTGTCTGCTTTGGGGTTTACACCCGCAGTATGCAGTGGAAATCTGTGCATTTCACATTAAGCCCGAAATGTAATGGGAGCTAAAGAGATGTGCATGAAAATAACTGCCACAGAAAGATGTAGTTGCGGTGCACAGTAACTGACATTTAGGAAGCGGGAGTAACAATGCATTAGGCCCAATCTGGTTTATGACTGGAATTTGGACGTATGGAATTACTTTATTAGGTTTTTTAGGTATATGCACATATAGTGTATAATGTGACATATCATTGTTTTCTTAGCCATTCTAAAATAGAAGCCAGGTTTGCTCATGAATTTATCAACATCGTTGACACAGGAAATATTAAAATTCATCAGGAAACATTAATTGCCAATTACAACTAATGACATTATGAACTAATTTGGTTACTGTCTAGTGCTAGAATGTGTATTAACAGACCTGGAATCTAGATTATTGTCATCAAATGACCCTCTTCTCCATCAGACAACAGAATGTACTCCTAAATTCCAATATATTCATTACCAGAGATTTGCATCTATCACTGCATTTGCTTTTTTTACTGGAACTATTGGAAAAATAGTAATATGAAACTATGTGAGGGAAATTGTCATGCCTCCATCTGTGATTTGGCCTCACATTCCAACTGCTCCCTTTGCTGTATTTGATTAAACCCCACAATGCACCATTATCAAAAACTGGATTTGACTTGAACATGTGTTATTTCTATTTCAGTTTTAATAGAAAACTGTTCATCCAACATATAAACCATAAAATACTGCAAAACGTCAGACTTTATCATGCAACCATCATCAAATTACAATCAGTTGTAGGCAGACTGTGGGTTGTTACCATTTTATGATTTACCCTGACCTAGAACGCCACCTACAGTAACAGCTGTGACAATGCTTTACCTCCAAAAAAATAATAAAAATACATTCAGCTGGACCTAATTCATACTGCTGAATAATAATCCGTAAGCCTAGCGTTTTAGAAAAATGTTATGTGAAAGACCTAAAAGCTGTGCTTGTTTCCTCTGATTTTGTGTCTTACTTGTGTATTTTTTTCAAATTCAGTCTTTAAAAATGATGTGTCAAGTTTAACATGCATTTAGAGCCATACTTTAGTTCATTAAAACACTGATGTAGTCGAGTGAAGCCTGATCAGAAAAAGGGGGCAGCTGCTCTTAAAGCTCCAGACTCTCTGGAGACTCAATTATCATAATTTATATTCATTTTTACCTGCATATACTTATACAGTATGCTTAGCACTTGCTAATATATTACAGCATACAGCAGTTTATATTGCATCATTATGCTTTGCTACCAACATAACATATCTTGAATGCATTTTGTAATTTTTTGTTTCCTCCACCAGATTATGCAGTTTAAAATGACACATCCTTTTTAAGAGTGTGGTAACTCGCGTAACCCTACGTAACTCCTGTGTTTATTCTAGTAGGGGATTATAAGGTACTCTGGGCTCCTCCTGGGTAACAAACACCAGCACTTTAGCCAGGTATGTGGTGATTGAGCCATAGCGACGCAGCCTCAGCTCCAGGGCCAGATCAAAGTCCTGCGGCTTGCTGATGAGTTTCGCCACTGACATCACGCCACCGGTTGGCATCTGCTCGGTCTTGAAGAAACCGCCCTCGTTGCCAGACGTGATAGCAATCTGGATGTCGTCGCCGGGCACGGTGTGGGAGGGGCCCATGCGGAAGATGTTGGTGAAGACGGGGATGTTGGTGGGGAAGGTGAGGTAGTAGTAGGTTATTCTCAGGGGCATGGTCAGGCACTCGACAGACTCATTGCAAAGCAAGCGTTCGCATCGACTGCAAAGAGAGAAGAGTCAGGGCAGGGGCAGGGCAGGACAGGACAAGACAGAACAAAACAGGCAGAGAGAAAGAGAAAGAGAGACCGGGTGTGAATTTCATTTGCCGTGCATGGCATGCAGTGAAAGGAACGTCACTTTTTTTTTTAGCAGCCTATTGCCAGTTATGGTGCCCTCTGTGGGATCATGCAAGAAGTTCTGTCATTGATGCCTCCAAACAAGGGTGGGGGATACACAGTGTGTGCACCAAAACTGAAACTGAAAAAAATGTCCATATGCATTTCATCCTTAAAAAAATTAGAACATGCTACAGCCAAATCTATTATTTTCCAGCACTGAGAATACTGGACATGCAGGGCCTTGAATAACAGGCGTAAAAAGCCTAACTCAGAGCGCCTATTATGACAAATATTTAGAATTAACTAAAAGGAACATGGACTTTGCTCTGTGTTTGTGTGTATGAGGCCTTTAAATAATGTTGGTATATTTTGTTCTCGTAATATTCATGTCAGTTATGCTGTTCAGGAAAGTGTGTGAACAGCTCTGGTACTCACGTCTCTCCAACACGCCGGTAGTTGCTTGGACATTCAAAAGACAGACATCTGAATCCTCCTTGTACATTGAAGCAGCTCTGATTCTCTGTGCATGTGTGTCTTCCCGTCAAGCATTCATCAATATCTGAGAGAGATGAAGAGGATATAATTCATACTGAAGTTAACCCACTGTGAGTCTGCAACAAGCACATTTAACATCGTAATAAGGATGACTTACCCTGGCAGCTGCGTCCGTTTACTGCCAAGGTGTAGCCACTGGTCGGACAAGAACAGTGGAAGCTACCAGGGGTGTTGTGACAGCGATAGGAGCAGATATGGCCTCCAGTGGGGAGGGCACACTCATCGATATCTGGAGACAGATAGAAACAAGTCAAATCAGGGAGTAAATTTAAAAAAACACACACACACACACACACATATATTTTATTTACCCATAAACTGACATATTACAAATTAAGTATGTTTTGGCTCTAGAGGACCAGAGCACACAAACTCTCTTAATCTTTGGAATACACAAGTAAGAAGTACAATATTTTTCATCATAGTCACACATTCCTCCAAGTACCTGTTACAATGGTTCCATTTTACCTTCACAAGTCATGCCATCGATGTCACTGAGCTGGTAACCACGGCGACAGTAACACTGGTAGGAGCCATACACGTTGGCACACTCTTGACTACACGGGTTGCTCTCACACTCATTCAAATCTGCACAGAGAAAAGATGATTACAAAACATCATAAACATTATCTGATGACTTCACTGATGTTTACCCATGAATCACAGCATGAGTAAACTTGTATGCTTTAACCCCCTAGTTGGATTGAATGTGTACGGTTGCATGTTGAAAGACCACTAATTCTGTGATACAACACATGCCTCTGTCTTGTATAAAAGCAGATAACCACACAGGGTGTCTGACAAACATCAGCTCAGGACTACTGATGACTTTTAAAGTACTGTCTGGTCTGATAAAATACAGTTTCAGAACTCTAAAGTTGGACACTGATTGTCTGTCTGTCTTCATTTTGGCAATGCTGCTGGAAAGTGAAAACACCAGTGACAAAGATGGAAATAAATCTGGGCCTCTGCAGTCCTGTCAGTCAGCTGCAGTTGTAATCAAAGCCAAAAAGTTGTCCAACAAGGGTTTATATTGTTTCAGTCACTAGGAATACAGTC